TCTATACTGCTGGGCTCAAAACTTTTTAAGTTTGAGTTTTTTTGACTTCGGTTAAACATCTCTCCCAGGCTCTCGCCTAATGGGTGACCCTGCCTCTGGTTCCCAGGGGAGGTTGGTAAAATCCCCGGCTATCGACCCAGTGGGGGGGGTGGCTTCTGAGTTACCTTCTCAGGGGTGGGGTTGTATTTGTGATGGTGCATAGGCCAACATTATTAGCAAGCTAGGTTAATCCGACACTGAAATGGTGTCTCCTGAGTCCTATACTTAGTTTTAGAGTATAGTCCTACACCTGTGTGTTGTATAATAACCCCTCCCTGTTTTGACTGAACCTAAGCCAATCTCAACCAATTTTTCTCACAACAGTCTGTTTTACACTTTAACTTCCCAGTCCACAGCATAGATAATCCTTCAGTGCAAGTCATGGTGCCACAAAACAGTCCCAACTCCCCACAGAAACTAGAACACTACTGGATCAGCCAACTAAATTAAAACACTGATACCTCTTGGACTTAACTTCAGCCCAGGAGTCCATAGAACATAGAAGTAAATAGAAGATAGGATCGGGCCTCTCACAGAGGCGGGAGGTGGGTTTTTTTACTCTCGTGTGTGTATGGTTTGACTACTGATGCGATCTCTTGCAGAACACTGTCGTGGCGGGCATTGTAGCGTCGGAGATCTCTTGCTGTAGCACAGTTGTTTAGTATGTGCGTGTAGGCTAGGCGCATGCACGTAGGTGTAGGCTAGGCGCTTGGCGCACGTGCGTAGGTGAAGAAGAGGCGGCATTAGGCGATGCGCACACGTGTAGGCTATGCACTTGGTGCATGTAGGGTGTAGTAGGCGGTAGGCTAGGTGCATGCGCGTAGGTGCATGTAGGTGTAGACTTGTTTCCTAGCTGCAGAAGATGTCGCTACCTCTCCACTGGTAACATTAGTGTATGTTAACTTGCCCTCTTTTTCCTCTCTAGAAACTGGTCAACTTCACCTGTCGAGCACTGACTACTGAGTGGAGTACTGAATTAGCGGCCGCCTCTACTTGCTCTCCTCTCTGCGCATTCGTCTAGCAGGTAGCTATAATAGCTACACCTCCGAGATGATGCCGCAAAAGGCCGAAAACTACTGTTCTCTGTTACACAGGCGGAGCTGGATCTACGACTCCGACTCATCGACTTGTCTACCCAACGACTCGACGATCCAACGGCTCGACGACTCAACAACTGATTGGGTCCCGATAATTTTTTGTTGGTTGCCCTTGAGGCAGGTTTGAGGAGGGTTCTGTTTTTTATTTTTTGTGTTTATGGTCCACTTCACCACATTCTCGTTGCCTCCCCTGACAGACTGTGGGCGTCGTTGCACTCCTCCCTCTCCACTTCCCGATATGGCACCGCCTCACGACTAGTGCGAGGACGACTCTCTCTCTTCCAGTCTCCACACGAACTCCTCCAGTGTTATTGCGCATGCGCAGTTCTCGCGCAGTCATCTAGCCTCGTTCCCAAAACCAACCTGGGAACGAGACTACGATCAAGGCTGCGATGAAATAAGCGCAGGGGCTTGGCAGTTTAGACAAGTAAATTAAAAATCCTGCAGAAGCATATAGGGATCATATAAAAAGAGAGGGAGACAAGATAGGGATGGTGTTTGTGGAAGCACAGAGATGCTAGCGAGGAGTTAGGACTCCCACAGGTCATTACAACAGCCCTATATCGTTGTATCAGTGCTTTACTACTTCCTCGTGAATATATCAGCCAACCTTGCATACTTGAATTTTGTTTTCTTGCGTTACACAATTTTTCCATGTTTCCATGTATATACATGTATATCCAATGTTATGGTCAGCTTACACTTCCACCTAATTAATGTGCACTCCATGGAAATGTAGCATGTCAAATCTATCAAAGGTAATTAGTTAGTAAGTCATCATTCATTACCTATAGCAATGTTCTACAGACTCTCTCATCACTCCCACTCCCACTCCCACCCTACGAAGAAGATTGAAAACTTTCCCTATCATAGCCCCATACATCTATGATGCTAGGTACTCCCACCGTACGACGATATAGGGCTGTTGTAATGACCTAACTCCTCGCTAGCATCTCTGTGCTTCCACAAACAATCCCTATCTTGTCTCCCTTTCTTTTTATACGATCCCTGATTTTTAATTCACTTGTCTCCACTCATTTTTATATACTACTACGTATTATCTCTATTATCTCTGTGAAAGGGGGCAAGCCCCCTATAAAAAATTAATAATAGAGAAAAGTGCCTGTTGTCATCATGGAATGATGTATATAATATGCATGCGTACCAAGTTTCTAATCTCCATCTGGGGTCTGCCGTTAGCAAGTTTGAAGAGTGAAGATGCCTGAGCCAATTTGTTGTTTTTCAAATATGTGGTTGCCATGGAAACGGTGTCATGCATTCTTACCAAGTTTCATCTCCATGAGTGCTACCGTTAGCAAGTTTGATGAGTGAAGTGTGCCTGAAGCTATTTGATGTTGTTCGTGGTCGTCATGGAAACATGAAGTTGTCATGGAAATGATGTAACATGCATGCATACCAAGTTTCATCTCCATGCGTGCTACCACTAGCAAGTTTGAGGAGTGAAGAAGTGAAAAGAGCCTTAGGCTATTTGTTATTGTTCAAACAGTATGTGGTCGTCAAGGAAACGATGTAAAACGCATGCATACGTAGTTTCATCACTATGCGTGATACCTTTAGCGAGTTTGAGAAGTAAAGAAGCAATTTTTGAAGAAAATTGCCTGAGGCTATTTGTTGTTGTTCAAACAAAGTGGTTGTCATGGAAATGATATTACATGTGTGCGTACCAAATATTATTTACATGCGTGCGTACCAAATATTATCTCCATGCGTGGTACTGTTAGCGAGTTTGAGGAGTGAATAAGTATTGAATAAAAGTGCCTGAGGCTATTTGTTGTTGTGGTTGTCATGTGGAAACGATATTATGCATGCGTACCAAGTTTCATCTCTATGCGTACTACAGTTAGCAAGTTTGAGGAGTGAAGAAGTAGTTTTAAAGAATTGCCTGAAGCTTTTTCAAACAATATGCAGTCATCATGGAAACATGTAATCGTCATGGAAATGATATAATAGGCATACATACCAAGTTTCATCTCTATGCTTGCTAGTTTGAAGAGTGAAGAAGTAAAAAGTGCCTGAGGCTATTTGTTGTTGTTTACAAATGTGTATTGTTGTGATTTTAATGTCGGTGATTGAATACATTATGTCTACAAAGTTTCTTTCACATAGCTCTTACCAATTGTGAGTTACACCGACACATCTAGTATTCCCATTAAAATGTATTGCCATTATAATGTATTGCCTGGGGCACGCACTTTTGTTGTAACCCTCGGCGCGCATGCGCAGCGAGGGTTACTGTAGTCTGGTCGTTCGTGTGTGTCTGTCTGTGTGTCTGTCTACGACTATTCTCACTACAGGCAACGAGGCGGATTCAAACAGCTTTAGCGGTACATGGGCTAGAAAAATAAAATGGCGATTTTGCTGGCGTTCGAGAGCGACAAACTGGCACGGTCCACGGTCGCGGACAGCGTTGCGTGGCCGGTCCAACCCATCGATAAGCGGTGCGCATGCGTGTATTAGACGGCTCGACCTGATCCGCTTGCTCTGTGTACGTTGGAGGCACAAGAAGCCACAGCGAAGGGTGTGCATCGACTCCCGCATGCTATCTACTACTGTAGCTAGCCAGTGTCAGACTCTCTGCGAGCTACTAGCGGGAGACCGCGAGTAAACGCCAATGCAATAGCCCAGCCCACCATTAGCGGTACGGCGCATGCGCAGTTCGCCGAGGGTTTGCACTTTAGTGCTTTTCAGTAAACAACATTGTGTATGACGTTGCACATGTGGTTATCGATATGTAGCTACATTCCTGCAAAATTTCACGGCTTTATCTCTTTCGGTTTTTGAGTTATGCTGGTTGAACAGGAAGAAGAAGAAGAAGATGATGAGGAACAAAACTCCGTATCATAGCCCCATACATCTATAATGCTATATATACCATGCCAATCCCTATCTAATATACCGTACTTAGTGATAGAGCTATAATAGCTGCGTATCCAAACTCTCAACCTATGAATCTCCATTATATTCCAATAGTTCTTGAAAGCTACATAATTATGTATTATGAGCTACGTTTTATAGCTATATGCTACTTGCTTTGTTCACAACGTTCACACTAACTAGCTACGTATTATAGCTACAAAATGGTGCAAGAGCTCTCTCGTCGAACTGGTGGGGGCCGCGGCCGCGGACTGGGCAATGCCCTGCGGCTTCCTTCGGTGATCTGGCGCAGTGGTCCGATGTAGTTCTGCTCAATCCAGCGCTTCTTGAACATCATTATACTGCGAACCCTTCTTTGCTGTCCGCCAACTAGGATCGATTCGGCAACAACCAATCTCGTGCTCACTGCACTTAGCTCAAAAAATGCATTACTTCCGTCAATATCACTGTCCCCCGCAGGAAAAAATATGCTTCCAATCAATTTGTCTGGACTGAGGGCCAGCACAGCACCAGAAGCGTCGCTTGCTCTTCGTTGGAGAGACTTGAGTATTCTTTGTAATTACGCAGGCGCCGAATCGAAGCGCTTTCGTCCGGCTCAATGCAGGAGCAAACACAGTTGAAATAGTACATCAGTTTAGCAATAGGAGAGTCTGGTATAGTGGCGTTGACCGACGTCTCCCTAAGTCGCACTTCGGTTCTTCCAAACACTGCAGCCATGGCTTACGTGTGTCCGGAAAAAATTATTGGCAAATCTTTGCAATAAATAGCAACTTTTCATTTGTCCAGTGCCCCCGTTCATTTGTCCTGTGCCCCCCGGGGTCAGCTATCTCTCTTCTTCGCGCAGAGTTATGTATGTATATATGTATGTGGAGCTAGAGGGGGGGGGGGGCCTAAGAAATCTGGCCGGAAAACGGGGGCGCTCTCTGACTGTTTGCGCATGCGCAAATGTAACAGAGCGCCCCTAAAATGGGGCGTGAACAAGCCGAGAAGACAACGTGATGTATATTATCTGTGCCTGTTACAACGGCAGCTATGGCAACATTGCCTAACCCGAGAGCTGGTGGCCCTGGTGAATTCAATCTGTGGAGTCTGCACATTCCTTACTTCTCTATTCATCCTTGATCCCAGATGGCACTGTAAGATTCATTAATACCTCAACATTGCGGGGTGCCTTTCACTCTTCATTTTATCACCTTTATCTACAAAGCACACACTTGAGTTTTTACAGCGTTGTCAGTGCAGATAATCAACCAAATGACTGCTGATGGAAACAGCGAAGAGTGCATGGTCCTATATATCCTACGTCCTATAATAATACTAAATACTAAATAGCAAGGGGTTAAATAGGGCAATTTCCCACCTTTTAACACTATTATAGAAGCACGCATTGACCACGCATTGCAACTGAGTAAAGTAAATCCATGCCTATGTATAAAAACACACACAACATTAAAAAAGCTTTCATCGACGCTACGCTATCCGGGAGTAGTAGACTGGTTCAGTTTCTGGCAAGTCGTGATGAGATCGAGGGCAAAGGTCAGCTCGGTGAGGAGGGAGAGAGGGGCGCGGTGTTTCTTCAGCTGTTTGTGGAGAGAGAAGAGTTTGCTGTGAGCCACTTGCAGTCCTCGCTGTTTTTGATCCGGTATCCGAACATAGTGCTGTACAGAAATGACCACACATTCAAGAATTGAGATGTTGGGCAGCGTAAAAGAAGTTCCACATGTGTATATAATATCTTTGAAAACTATTACCACGTGAAAGCTGCTGTGGTCTAGGGTTAGTGCGCTGCGTTGTGAGTGTAAGGGTAACTAGTTCAAATCCTACCTGTGCCACTTATTAGGTAGTACAACTATTGGTAATGGGCTAGTCTACTGGTAGCACTAACCGGTCTGAACTGGCAGAGCTGGTTGTAGAGTGTTCTGGTCTCGAATGACTTCAGGACATCTTGAAACACCTGGTTTATCAGCATCAGCTCTTGCTGCGCCCTTCACAAGAGACAACAATGCATGTGTATGTATATAGTGAGCCAAGCAGGAAACTTTGTTTGAAAGCAGTTTAGGTTTGAGAGTCATCCACAAAACCTTTCTCTCCAAAAAAAACCTCTTGTATTGTCAGACTAGCTATCTACAAACATCAATTGCCAATTGCTGTGCCAATATTTAATCCTTTCCACTTACAGTATATACATACTTCGGGGCACTATTATATAACTCTATACATGTTGACAGCTTTACGTTTACAGGGTGAAAAATTGGTGAGGAAAAAAGATGTCACTCTAAGTTGAACAGAAGAATAGGCATCACATACATTGAGCAGTACAAAGAAGGGCAGAACTATAAAGGGTATATACATTGTATTATGATCTACACCATACACAGCTAGCATTCTGCAGCAAGTGAAGTGTTTAGAGTATGCTACCATACAGAGTTGGGTAGTGTAATAACAGGCATATGGTTGCTGCTGGTTTCAATACAATTACCAATTCCCAGAGGTTTGTACTCTAATAAAAACCCACCTCTCCTGTCGGTGGGGCTGGCCGGAGAAGTGATCCGGATGCAGCTGTCGTGACATCTCTCTCCTTACTCTCGCCAGCTCATCAGTAGTCGCCGTTGACTCCACCCCAAACAGCTTATAGTAGTCATTCTCCTCAGCCATCTCCTGGAGTCTTCGCAGTTTGGTTGCTATGGCACCGTCAACCGGTTTTTCCAGTACTAGAGGTTTGGTGGGTAGGGGAGGTTTAGGGCGACTAGAGGTGGTGGGGGTGGGGGTAGGTAAAACAGGGAGGGTTGGGAGCAAAGGTTGCGGTGCATCGCTGGAATCGTTTCTCCTGGCATCTTGGTCATGTTTCTCTTTTATCTGAGGTCTTCTCTTTCTTCTCTGGGGTGTAGTGGCCGCTTCTTGCTCGCCCATCGTTTGCTGGTGTTCGTGATTTGTCTGTCTTTGAGGCCTCTGTGGGGTGTTTCTGGGCACTTTCGAGCTCTCCTCCACGGTTTCTACTTCCAGCTTCAGACTTCCCGACAAGGAGCTAAATTTAACCCCTTCGCTCTCGCTGCTTTCTTCTGAAGCTTTGCCTCTCAGTCTCGTCGGCTTTGGGTTGGGCGTCGGTTTTACATCATCTCTCCTCCTCCTCTCTCTCGTCTGATGATTTGACGTCGTTTCTCTCTGATCTCCACTCCCACTGGCCCCTCCCGATCTCTCCACAGAGCCAGGAGCTCTTGCAACATGAGGGGATTCCTTCCGGATACGAGGTTTCAATTCTTTATCGCTTCCCTCTTTCTCTCTCGTGTCTTGATCTCGAGGGAGCTGGGGGGTAGCGCTGGCACTTTCTCTGTGTGTCTGTCTCTGGTTTGAACTGTCTTCTTCGTCTGTTAGAGTCTCTCCGTCACTCTCTTGCCCCTCCTTCTCCTCCCTGCCTCCATTTCTTGCTTCGTTTGTCCTCAACTTGCCTCTTATCCCTCCCCAAACCCTCCCCAGTGGCCACTTACTAGTCCCTCTCTTCCCCTTCGCTGTGTCTTCTTCTTCCCCTCCTCCTCCCACTCCAGTATGACCTGCCAAGCATGCGCGTATATATAGCAAAACTAAACACAAGAAAACAGTATTTTCATGCAACCAGAGAGAGCATGGCACCAATTATTTGCAAGTTTCTTGTAATCTTATGGTTATGATATTGCATGAACCAGTCTTTCAGCGTGCAGTACTCACCCTCTGGGTTGTTGAGAGGCTCTCCCTCTTCCTCTTCCTCCTCCTTCACATCTCCCGTTCCACCAATGGGCGATTGGCGGCCATTCTCTCTCCCCTCTCCTTCACCATCCTGGTGTGACAGACTACTTTAACCCTTTTCGAACCTACTTTCAATACCAAACACGTATACAGTGGAACCCCAATAATCTGAACATTAACGAGACAGAAGAATTAATGAGGGGCCATTATTTCAGGGGTTAAATGGCAGTTCTAAAGTTTCAATCACCGAATTTCAAGAAATGAGTATCTAGAGAGGTTCTTACTCTGACGAAAGAGTGTTTCTCCAGTTGAGGAGGCTGGGGGGTCATCTGGAAAGACGTGTGTTCGTTGACAAACCACTTAATATCGCTGACTGCGTCGATCTTTTCCACGCTCATCTGGATACGCTGCATACCCTCCAGATAGACTGGAGCTGTGTTTGAGAGTGTTCTGAGGGAGGGAGAGATGGGAGGCAAGTGTGTGATAAAGAAATGGAGAGATAAAGTAGCAGGTAGGGAGAAGAGACAAAGGACTGAAGTGTGAGAGAGTAAAGGTAAGGTCTAAAAGAAAGACTTTGCTGGGTTCACAATACGTCGCATTGCCCTGTTCTGCATCGCGTCGTGCCGCGAAGCTATTTTCGTGACGCGGCAAAGCGGCACGACACGATGGGGCAATATGACATATTGGGAACCTAGCCTTACTTTGTAAAGTTCAGCAGAGCTTCCTTGAGAGCATTAACCCTTCTCACTTCCCTCTCTTCATGTTTCTGTATTGAACAGACAGACACACATGCAAAAACAGCTCCATTCAATGTTTCCCACTTTTCTTGTACTTTACTGTCGCTCGCCTGGAGAGCAGAGTGTTGGGGTTCGAATCCCACCTAGGGCAGCTCTTCTGAAAAGAAAGAGCTGTCCTGGGTGTAGTTGACTTGTTTGCTTTGCCTTGCCTTTCTACCTTGATACCTCATTGTTCACACATGCACAAAAATTGGGCATTATTACACATACGTACGTACACCTTCGCTCGCCAATTACTGTATGTAATCCAACATATGTAGCTCCACCTTATAGAGGTCTTGAATAGCCTCATCACACTGTCTCTGTGCCTCAAGATAGTGACCATGTGCTCTGTTGTATCTAATAGTGAGAGAGTGGAGGACATGCAAAATGGGTGTGTAAGAGCTCATGGTCATGCGACATCTACTTCATTCACATTCACATGAGACGCAGTGGAACCTCGCTACTCCAAGCCTCTCAAATGCAGCCATCTCGCTGAAGCAGCCAATGTCTTGGAACGGATTGATCAACCTGTGCATGTTTCGCATAATAACCTTACCCTGAGGTCCACCCAGCCACCTCACTAACCCAGCCACTTTTTCGGGTCCCAAGTGTGGCCGGAATAGCGAGGTTCCACTGTATAATGTAGATTGAAGAGTACTGTAGCACATACACTTGTTCCTGTTCAAGTAGCTGCTTTTCGGTGCTGTCAAGTCTCTTTTCAATCTATTCCAGATTAGGGAATAATAGGTATATACATACACACATACAGTACAGTACAGTTTCCTAAAAATCCCTTTGTTAACAACTGTTGGGATACATACATAATGTGCACTAATTTGTAGCTAGCTCTATATAGCCAAAGTGGCTCGAATTTTCCACAAAGTCGTATACTACCCCTGAAGGATGGTTGGTTGTCCCAAACCTCTCTCACTAAAAATACGAAAAGTGGCTAAAATTTTTCAAAAAAAGTTTAGGATCCCATGTTTAGCTAATCTTCAACCCCTTCCTTCTCTTCGTGAATGACTCACTCGTGAGAGTCTGATTCTTGCAGTGATGCCAGTAGACGTGAGTGACCTGATCTGCTGCTGAAGTCGCTCACAACTGTCCCCTAGTCCCATGTACTTCTGCTTCTCCTGCAATACATTCCATAAGAGTGATAAACACTGCACACTCCAGTCTATAGTCAAGGTATTCGGGATGGTTGGTTGGTCTGTCCTTCTCCCCACCTTCTTTCTAAAAGTACGAAAGGTTTAGGCCACCCTACTCTTATACACTGCACACTCCAGCTATAGTCAAGGTATTTAGGATGGTAGGTTGGTCTGTCCTTCTCCCCACCTTCTTTCTAAAAGTACAAAAAGTTTAGGCCACCCTACTCTTATACACTGCACACTCCAGCAATAGTCAAGGTATTCCAGATGGTTGGTTGGTCTGTCCTACTCCCCACCTTCTTTCTAAAAGTACAAAAAGTTTAGGCCACCCTACTCTTATACACTGCACACTCCAGCTATAGTCAAGGTATTCAAGATGGTAGGTTGGTCTGTCCTTCTCCCCACCTTCTTTCTAAAAGTACAAAAGTTTAGGCCACCCTACTCTTATACACTGCACACTCCAGCTATAGTCAAGGTATTCAGGATGGTAGGTTGGTCTGTCCTTCTCCCCACCTTCTTTCTAAAAGTACAAAAGTTTAGGCCACCCTACTCTTATACACTGCACACTCCAGCTATAGTCAAGGCATTCAGGATGGTTGGTTGGTCTGTCCTTCTCCCCACCTTCTTTCTAAAAGTACAAAAAGTTTAGGCCACCCTACTCTTATACACTGCACACTCCAGCTATAGTCAAGGTATTCAGATGGTTGGTTGGTCTGTCCTTCTCCCCACCTTCTTTCTAAAAGTACAAAAAGTTTAGGCCACCCTACTCTTATACACTGCACACTCCAGCTATAGTCAAGGTATTCAGGATGGTTGGTTGGTCTGTCCTTCTCCCCACCTTCTTTCTAAAAGTACAAAAAGTTTAGGCCACCCTACTCTTATACACTGCACACTCCAGCTATAGTCAAGGTATTCAGATGGTTGGTTGGTCTGTCCTTCTCCCCACCTTCTTTCTAAAAGTACAAAAAAGTTTAGGCCACCCTACTCTTATACACTGCACACTCCAGCTATAGTCAAGGTATTCAGATGGTATGTTGGTCTGTCCTTCTCCCCACCTTCTTTCTAAAAGTACAAATGTTTAGGCCACCCTACTCTTATACACTGCACACTCCAGCTATAGTCAAGGTATTCAGAATGGTTGGTTGGTCCGTCCTTTACCCCACCTTCTTTCTAAAAGTACAAAAGTTTAGGCCACCCTACTCTTATACACTGCACACTCCAGCTATAGTCAAGGTATTCAGGATGGTTGGTTGGTCTGTCCTTCTCCCCACCTTCTTTCTAAAAGTACAAAAAGTTTAGGCCACCCTACTCTTATACACTGCACACTCCAGCTATAGTCAAGGTATTCAGGATGGTTGGTTGGTCTGTCCTTCTCCCCACCTTCTTTCTAAAAGTACAAAAAGTTTAGGCCACCCTACTCTTATACACTGCACACTCCAGCTATAGTCAAGGTATTCAGATGGTTGGTTGGTCTGTCCTTCTCCCCACCTTCTTTCTAAAAGTACAAAAAGTTTAGGCCACCCTACTCTTATACACTGCACACTCCAGCTATAGTCAAGGTATTCAGAATGGTTGGTTGGTCTGTCCTTCTCCCCACCTTCTTTCTAAAAGTACAAAAGTTTAGGCCACCCTACTCTTATACACTGCACACTCCAGCTATAGTCAAGGTATTCAGGATGGTGGTTGGTCTGTCCTTCTCCCCACCTTCTTTCTAAAAGTACAAAAAGTTTAGGCCACCCTACTCTTATACACTGCACACTCCAGCTATAGTCAAGGTATTCAGAATGGTTGGTTGGTCTGTCCTTCTCCCCACCTTCTTTCTAAAAGTACAAAAAGTTTAGGCCACCCTACTCTTATACACTGCACACTCCAGCTATAGTCAAGGCATTCAGGATGGTTGGTTGGTCTGTCCTTCTCCCCACCTTCTTTCTAAAAGTACAAAAAGTTTAGGCCACCCTACTCTTATACACTGCACACTCCAGCTATAGTCAAGGTATTCAGAATGGTTGGTTGGTCTGTCCTTCTCCCCACCTTCTTTCTAAAAGTACAAAAAGTTTAGGCCACCCTACTCTTATACACTGCACACTCCAGCTATAGTCAAGGTATTCAGGATGGTTGGTTGGTCTGTCCTTCTCCCCACCTTCTTTCTAAAAGTACAAAAAGTTTAGGCCACCCTACTCTTATACACTGCACACTCCAGCTATAGTCAAGGTATTCAGAATGGTTGGTTGGTCTGTCCTTCTCCCCACCTTCTTTCTAAAAGTACAAAAGTTTAGGCCACCCTACTCTTATACACTGCACACTCCAGCTATAGTCAAGGTATTCAAGATGGTTGGTTGGTCTGTCCTTCTCCCCACCTTCTTTCTAAAAGTACAAAAAGTTTAGGCCACCCTACTCTTATACACTGCACACTCCAGCTATAGTCAAGGTATTCAGATGGTTGGTTGGTCTGTCCTTCTCCCCACCTTCTTTCTAAAAGTACAAAAAGTTTAGGCCACCCTACTCTTATACACTGCACACTCCAGCTATAGTCAAGGTATTCAGGATGGTAGGTTGGTCTGTCCTTCTCCCCACCTTCTTTCTAAAAGTACAAAAGTTTAGGCCACCCTACTCTTATACACTGCACACTCCAGCTATAGTCAAGGTATTCAAGATGGTTGGTTGGTCTGTCCTTCTCCCCACCTTCTTTCTAAAAGTACAAAAAGTTTAGGCCACCCTACTCTTATACACTGCACACTCCAGCTATAGTCAAGGTATTCAGGATGGTTGGTTGGTCTGTCCTTCTCCCCACCTTCTTTCTAAAAGTACAAAAGTTTAGGCCACCCTACTCTTATACACTGCACACTCCAGCTATAGTCAAGGTATTCAGGATGGTTGGTTGGTCTGTCCTTCTCCCCACCTTCTTTCTAAAAGTACAAAAAGTTTAGGCCACCCTACTCTTATACACTGCACACTCCAGCTATAGTCAAGGTATTCAGATGGTTGGTTGGTCTGTCCTTCTCCCCACCTTCTTTCTAAAAGTACAAAAGTTTAGGCCACCCTACTCTTATACACTGCATACTCCAGCTATAGTCAAGGTATTCAGGATGGTTGGTTGGTCTGTCCTTCTCCCCACCTTCTTTCTAAAAGTACAAAAGTTTAGGCCACCCTACTCTTATACACTGCACACTCCAGCTATAGTCAAGGTATTCAGATGGTGGTTGGTCTGTCCTTCTCCCCACCTTCTTTCTAAAAGTACAAAAAGTTTAGGCCACCCTACTCTTATACACTGCACACTCCAGCTATAGTCAAGGTATTCAGGATGGTTGTCGTTCCCCCCCACCTTCTTTCTAAAAGTACAAAAAGTTTAGGCCACCCTACTCTTATACACTGCACACTCCAGCTATAGTCAAGGTATTCAGGATGGTAGGTTGGTCTGTCCTTCTCCCCACCTTCTTTCTAAAAGTACAAAAAGTTTAGGCCACCCTACTCTTATACACTGCACACTCCAGCTATAGTCAAGGTATTCAAGATGGTAGGTTGGTCTGTCCTTCTCCCCACCTTCTTTCTAAAAGTACAAATGTTTAGGCCACCCTACTCTTATACACTGCACACTCCAGCTATAGTCAAGGTATTCAGGATGGTAGGTTGGTCTGTCCTTCTCCCCACCTTCTTTCTAAAAGTACAAAAAGTTTAGGCCACCCTACTCTTATACACTGCACACTCCAGCTATAGTCAAGGTATTCAGGATGGTAGGTTGGTCTGTCCTTCTCCCCACCTTCTTTCTAAAAGTACAAAAAGTTTAGGCCACCCTACTCTTATACACTGCACACTCCAGCTATAGTCAAGGTATTCAGGATGGTAGGTTGGTCTGTCCTTCTCCCCACCTTCTTTCTAAAAGTACAAAAAGTTTAGGCCACCCTACTCTTATACACTGCACACTCCAGCTATAGTCAAGGTATTCAGGATGGTAGGTTGGTCTGTCCTTCTCCCCACCTTCTTTCTAAAAGTACAAAAAGTTTAGGCCACCCTACTCTTATACACTGCACACTCCAGCTATAGTCAAGGTATTCAGGATGGTAGGTTGGTCTGTCCTTCTCCCCACCTTCTTTCTAAAAGTACAAATGTTTAGGCCACCCTACTCTTATACACTGCACACTCCAGCTATAGTCAAGGTATTCAAGATGGTAGGTTGGTCTGTCCTTCTCCCCACCTTCTTTCTAAAAGTACAAAAAGTTTAGGCCACCCTACTCTTATACACTGCACACTCCAGCTATAGTCAAGGTATTCAGATGGTAGGTTGGTCTGTCCTTCTCCCCACCTTCTTCTAAAAGTACAAAAAGTTTAGGCCACCCTACTCTTATACACTGCACACTCCAGCTATAGTCAAGGTATTCAGGATGGTATGTTGGTCTGTCCTTCTCCCCACCTTCTTTCTAAAAGTACAAATGTTTAGGCCACCCTACTCTTATACACTGCACACTCCAGCTATAGTCAAGGTATTCAGATGGTAGGTTGGTCTGTCCTTCTCCCCACCTTCTTTCTAAAAGTACAAATGTTTAGGCCACCCTACTCTTATACACTGCACACTCCAGCTATAGTCAAGGTATTCAGGATGGTTGGTTGGTCTGTCCTTCTCCCCACCTTCTTTCTAAAAGTACAAAAAGTTTAGGCCACCCTACTCTTATACACTGCACACTCCAGCTATAGTCAAGGTATTCAGGATGGTGGTTGGTCTGTCCTTCTCCCCACCTTCTTTCTAAAAGTACAAAAAGTTTAGGCCACCCTACTCTTATACACTGCACACTCCAGCTATAGTCAAGGTATTCAAGATGGTAGGTTGGTCTGTCCTTCTCCCCACCTTCTTTCTAAAAGTACAAAAAGTTTAGGCCACCCTACTCTTATACACTGCACACTCCAGCTATAGTCAAGGTATTCAAGATGGTAGGTTTGGTCTGTCCTTCTCCCCACCTTCTTTCTAAAGTACAAAAGTTTAGGCCACCCTACTCTTATACACTGCACACTCCAGCTATAGTCAAGGTATTCAGATGGTAGGTTGGTCTGTCCTTCTCCCCACCTTCTTTGCTAAAAGTACAAAAGGTTTAGGCCACCCTACTCTTATACACTGTACACTCCAGCTATAGTCAAGGTATTTAGGATGGTAGGTTGGTCTGTCCTTCTCCCCACCTTCTTTCTAAAAGTACAAAAAGTTTAGGCCACCCTACTCTTATACACTGCACACTCCAGCTATAGTCAAGGTATTTAGGATGGTAGGTTGGTCTGTCCTTCTCCCCACCTTCTTTCTAAAAGTACAAAAGGTTTAGGCCACCCTACTCTTATACACTGCACACTCCAGTTATCACTAAGTACAGTAGTACTTAGTATATAGGGATGGGCATGCATCGTGTATGGGGCTATGGATGATCTGTCCTTCCCCCTACATGCTTACTAAAAGTACGAAAAAGTTAGGTCACCACATAATTGTAAAGATTCTTCTGAGGCAAATAGATACTTACTTTATTCATCTTCTTGTGTGCCTGCTCTTGACCCGCCTTTATCTGCAGTACCTTCACTCTCATCTGATGAGTAAGATACGCACTTTACTTGGAAACTTTTGAGGAAGAAAATGTCTGAAATTAGATGGCTATTGTAAAGCTTTTATACATCATACAGATGGTACCCTGCCAACAAAATTCATCGACAAAACTTCTCCAGTAAACCACGAAATAATCTCGCTAAATGATAAAAAGTGAGTGCTCTGATTGTCCTTACTAATGTGGCCTGATTAGCGAGGTACGTACCATAATTAAAATGTCTTGACCTGTTCTACGATGTCTTTTAATTATAGAACTGCTCGCGCTTGCTCGTAGAAAATGCATGGCATTCGTTCGAATTGTAAAGTGTCTTATGTCATGGAGTCCTAACATCAAAGAGTTATATAGGATGAACAGAAATTTGGGGCTTACGTTTCTTCTGGCCTCCTCCAGTTCAGGCAGCAGCTCCATTAGTGGCTTCCGTACTGAGTTCATGTATGCCTCTGCCTACATAAGACACACACAACACACATAGAAAGGAGAGGAATACTCCTCTCTGTCTTACTCTAATGCATGGCACAGTTACATGGGGCAGAACATCATATAATATAGAGGGAAGATTCCACCAGGCCAATGTGCATAATCTATGCAACGTGAGAATTAAACCGTAGAAAGAAAGAGCAAAAGAGAAAGGAGGGCTAGATTCTACTACGTAGACGAATCACAGTTGAATTGTACATTGCCGACCTTTATATGGACTTATTGTATACGTAGGAGGCTAGACAATAGACATGTAAAATAGTCGTTGACTCAATAAAATAAAACCCTCAATAGGCTTTTCCTAATCTGTTACTGTTAGCCATCTAGTACGATTTTATATACAGTATATTGGCACCTGTTCTGAATGGAGGTCTGCCAACTTGCATAGTTCTTGACCTAGCTCTTGCCAGCTGTGTTTCAGAGATCTTAAGTAGACAGAGAGGAGAGAGAGGGGGGGAGGAGAGAGAAAGACAAAGAGAACGAACGAAATGCTCACACATTATGACTAGAGAGCGCTCCCTTTTCCTTGTCACGGGGTGTTATTTCCGATTCAGGAGCTACACGTTCCGTCTCCCCTACACAGGCACGCGCCATATGGCACCCGTCTTTCACTCGCACGCCTCACTCGCTGACTTACAAATGAAGGAATCGTGTCGAGCATTGCTCCATATGTCGCTACACTGATGTCTACATCACATTATTGGAATACAGCACGATGTATGTGTATGTACCCTATTTCTTCGTAAGGGTCGTTTCCCAGCCACTGGAACAGGAGGTTGGAGTGAAAAGTGTAGGAGGAGGAGCGGAGTAATCGGTGGAGTGATTCGGAGTAAGATTTCTCCAGCGTAGCTACCTCCTGGGCAATTACATAAGAGATGGGGAGATGGGGTAAGAGGGAGGAGGCGGGAGAATGATAATAAGTGAAGTGATTGAATAGGCCCCCTCCAACAAAGTATATGAACACTACTGTAGCTGTCAAGGTGATAGTGTTTGTCAACACTCATGCGTGTGCTGCTGGTACAACACACACTAAGTAGCTGCTATGTACAAGTTGAGATTTCGTCAACACACAGACACACTATATAACAGAGCGGGGTGGTGCATCAGAGAACGCAACCATCCAAGCAAAGAGCTTAGTGTATGCATGAAGTACTGCCTGACTAGCTATATAGACGTGCATGCAGTTGTACTGCATCAGCTACGATAGCTCACGTTGCAGAAGTCGACGACGCATTTTCACGACCTCCACGCCGTCTGAGAATCTGTGCAGCACCACCGGGAGCGAGTCCTGTGTGCGGAGAGAGAAAACCCCTGCGCTGATCCGCGGCGGCCGCTACCACACGGCAACTTTAGCGGACGGCAAATCGCTAAAGGCAACACTCACCACTCCGTGTAGCTTGTCCATAGGTAGAGGTTGGTTTATGTCAGCGTATAAAGTGGCCGTCAAGTCTCTAATGCTGCAGGGTTTGCAGTTTTTCAAGTTTAACCCTTTCGTCACATAGTGCGGGTTTGTTATGGTGCGCTTCTTTTAGAAATCGTGGCACGTTACCATAGCAGCGGGCAAACACACTGGCGGGAGAGAAAGCGATGGCGGCAGAGGAAGAAGCGAGACGAAGAGGGGGAGGAGGGTCACGATCTTTCGGATAATCCGCTCACCGCGCACCTGGTGGTTGTCCGGATGGAGAACATTTCGGACAATCTGAAGCTGCTGGACTACGAGAGAGGGTTTTGTAAGGGACTCAATTTCAAGCCTATCCCCAGGTGAATTAGTCTAGTACGAGACTGCAAGTGAAATTGCATAGGCCTAACGACAGACAAACCAAGGATTCTGACTATAGCTGGACAGTGCAAGGCAATTGGTCCAATGCCAATGGGAAATGGGGATGGGGAGATCTTTTGCTGAGTATTATACTTCCTCTCATCATTTTCTCCTCCCCGGCTGCTCTCCACGTGACCCAGACACTATTTCGCAGTGGCCACTAATCCCGGAGAGCAGTTCCACGTGTTTGCCAACCTTGCCGTATGGCTCCTGAACCAGTGTGGTAGAAAACTTGCCCAGCCCGAGGAGGTCAGTTGGGAATTGACAATTTTGGCTTTTCTGTGTAAGACTGTGTACTGCATACCCATATATGTATGCTATATATTTATATGTATGTATGTATGTACCTTATATACTGCAGAGCGACGATCCTAATTCAAGCACCGCAGCTATCATGGAAGAAGCAAGGAAATTGGTATTAAAGCCACGTTCTCATTTCAAGCTCCACTTTAACTTTCTCTCTCTACTCATCAGAAATTACACACGGATTTTCCGCCACACAAACTGAAGACTGGCTGTGGGGAACAGGTTAAATGACATAGTTTTTAGGCGTAAAACTGGAGGAATGTGTGTTTTCGTATATAGGTGTGTAGTCTCCTACTTGGTCTAACTGAGTGTGCCCTCCACTCACGAAACTTCAAATGGAGAAAGTAAGTATACAGCTCTATTGCTAAGTAAGTATACAGCTCTATTGCTAGACTGTATGTGTGTAGCGGGAATCTTTTGAGGCAGAAAACGTAAGCAACTTGGTAGCAAATCAAAAGTTTTGCATAAAAAAATATTTGGCTTGCTTGCTCAACCACAAAATTTTGCAGGGGAAAATTTCACGATTAATCTCTAACCGAAACATTTTTACCCTCAAATGTTTTTCTGCTATACAGTAGCATGTATAGTTTACAATAATCTTTAGTTATGTGATACAGTATGTATGTATGTATGTATGTATGTATGTCCGATTTTTATGGAGCAAACTGGTTTTTCTACCTGGTCAGACCAGTTTATCGAGACGAACAGGTCGAGGAAGAGGTTGTGGAGGGTCAGAGTGCAGAGGTCACTCTCGACCAACTGGAGGAAGAAATTCATGTGCGTCTGGGATTAAAATAGTAACACAGTCTAAAAATAGCACACGTTCATTACGTAATGCTCCAGGAGGACGTGGAGAGTGAGGAGGAAGGAGATGTGTTCATGGACCTGTCCAATATGAAGGAGACCAGAGATTTAGAGGTGTGTATATAATATAATGACTAAAGGCATGGAAATACACACTGCTTCAGCATAATATTGTCCTTTAACTGCACCCAGAGACACCAAAACACAGGATGAAACAGAAGCCCATATGATTGGCGAGCGAGTCTGCCCTATTATGCGGTTTCCATATTCATAAGCACCGTCAGTAGCATTTGACTACATATGTCAAATCCATAGGCTATGGCCATCATCACAATTTTTATATTGTACGTATAATATACCTCAAGGAATTGAAGTATTGCATTCGTGTATGCCGCCCTGTGTGCGATTCCCCACGTTGCATTCATTTGTAATCACGTGTATGTACAGGTGGAGATGGGAGGGGCACTGGGAGGAGCTCTGGAGGCAGGGGTTGACGAACAGCAGTGGAGACTGGAAGTGGAGAGAGTGCTTCCTTCACTGAGAGTTCACCTCAGACAGGATAACCGGGTGAGAGAGAGAGGGGGGAAAGTACGACAATACCTTAAAGCAAGAACTTGATAGGAGGTTGGCATAGCTATTGCTAGAGTCCACTTTCATTCCCAGATAGTGTATAGTCGTCTTCTCCAGGGCTGAGTTTTCCCATTATGAGTGTTGTAGATGTATTGTAAGACAAAAAGAATTCCCTATCGAAATTTGAAAGTCTTCATATTAAACCAAAGAAGCCTTAGTGTTCCCACGTGTTATATTAGCCTAGTAGAAATTGTGGTTAACCCAGATGACCCCCTGCATGTGCATTCATGGTGTTAAAACAAGATTTGTGGGAATTCCTTGTCAGTAGAAGTCCAAAGTCCTTGTTAAACATTAGTGAAGTCATGGTGAACCCTGAAACAGTTGTGATCAACTAGAATCAAGTGTCCTTTATAGAGAGATGTCCTTTAGGCTTGATTGTCAATGTGTGTTCCATAATGGTGTTTCTACATCATGTGCAGGAGTGGAGGGCACACTATGATCAGATGCACAGCCACCAGGAGGCCATCGAGACCAAGCTGGCCGACACCAAGGTCTACCTGGACAAACTGCAGCAGGAGATCGGTCGCACTCTGGAGAAGATTTCCTCTCGAGAGAAATACGTCAACAACCAGGTGAATGTGTGTGTAAAGTGAAACCTATGAGTAAGGAACATGTTAGAGACATCTAAAGTGTCATTTTATCAAGTGTGTCCCTTATTCAGAGGTATGTATGTATATACACCAAATAGCATGGGGCAGAAACAGTGTCCTTTATAGAGATGTTTCCTTTTTTCTCGGAGAGTCCTTTTTCAGAGGTTTTACCGTATTAGTGCGTGGCAGAACCAAGAGTCCTTCATAGAAAGGTGCCCTTTATTGGGAGCAAGTTAAAGAAATTTTCATTGTATATTATATCAGCCCTGTTTCTCTCTTCCTTGCCCTGTCTCACACAATCTTCTTCCCTCCTTTAGCTCGAATCCTCCATTGCCGAGTTCCGCACCTCTCAAGACGGTCTTGCTGAGATACGTGAGCGATACAGGAACAGCAGCTCGTCGGTCAATGACCTAGCACGGGAGCTGGCACAGGTGAAGTCCGAGCTATGCCGCCGTCCAAATCACACATCATTGATCAATGCTATCACTCTTTCTCTCCCTTTCCACTCCCACACTTTGATTTCCCTCGTAGTAAACAGAGCAACCTTGCTATTCAATCCAGCCACACTTGGGCCCTGAAAAAGTGGCTGGATTAGTGAGGTGACTGACTGGATTTCGTTTATCGTGAAAACCATTTTGCACAATACAATGGAAAGCCTCGAAATCGCCGATGACACGTTGTGTACAGCATTTCCACACAAATGTAGCATGACATGTCGCTTCATGTAGTTATGCTGTACCTCGAGATTTAACAATGATGTCACACTATTGTGCTCAACAATAGCACATCCCCCGGCTATATGTATATACTTCATCTACATATGTACGTATACGTACATTAAACAAACAATGGACAACTGAAACAACTGGTCACTAGGCCCCGTTTCGACTCCCTACAAAATTCTTGTTTTCTCCAACTGTGAAGGTGGTATTCAGATTGAAACACAGTGAAACCTCAGAAGCCAAAAAAGGACACTTATAAAGGACACATGACTCCGCCCTATTAAATGCGCATTAGTGTATATATACCCCTGAATAAAGGACACTTTTGACATCTCAAAAGTCATTTTATCACTAAGTACTGTAGTACTATAGGGATGGGCATGATACACCTAGCATCATAAATGTATGGGACTATAATGTGCAGTTTTGTTCACTTTTTCTTCTTCTTTTTCTTCTTCATCTTCCTCTAGGTGACAGAGGCGCTGGACAGGGTGAAGGGAGAGATGGAGGAGAGAGGGAGCAACATGATAGATGCAGGGCCGCTGGTGAGGATAAAACAGGCCCTCACTAGACTCAAGACGGAGTGTACACAGATGGACGTCAGAATTGGAGTGGTGAGACTATTCATCGAAATCTCTGCATTGTATCTAGGGGGCATGCAGGGTATTAGGTATTGGAGCTAGGAGTGACTTACTGACCAATAGTTGCTAGGCATGATCTACAATTCAGTAAGCAAGAAAGGAGAGTAGACCGTGCTTGAGCCAACCCTGTCGTCAACTGACTGCGCCTCCTTATGGCTCCCACTACTGTGTAATTGTATTGTTGGCTATTGTAGATAATAACGCGTACATGTGCATAATATGTGTACCACGAAAACGAAAAGAAAACCTGTGTACAGAATACGGTCCCAACACGTCCTCTATTTGAAGGTTCCACTGAACTGCTGTTTCACCATAGAGAGTTGTTGCTCAGCTTTTTCTGGCTGTAAGGGAATGCTGCAGAATTCAGCACAATGGTTTTCCAGTCACAGGGATGCTACAAGGAACAACACAAACTCCAGACAGAGCCCTGTGTGCCAAATCCCTGACTCTCCATGAATTACACACTGATTTTGTGTCTACACCCACACCAGTGTGTAATTCACCAAAACACCATCATGATGGTGTTTTGGTGTGTGTTTAGTGAGCCAGTGTGTCGCTCAACACAACCTCGGTTGCTGCTTGCAAACTGGCAGATTTACCTTTTGAACAGCCACCCCCACGGCCTTCCCGGGGCTTCGTATTGCTGCCGGTGATGTAACATGACTCCCTGTGTGGATACAGTCTGGAGAAAATTGACTCTGTATCGGTTACCACTACCTGCCACCTTCTGTGCATTATGAGCTCATGTCTCTCTATTTCCCTTTGTGCATAGCATGGCTAATTTAACAGGAATATGATCATTTCACGTGATCTCACTGCACTCTCTTTCTCCGTTCCTACCTCCCTCCTCCCTCCCCTTCCGCCTTTCTCTCTCTCACTCCCTTCCTCCCCTTCCGCTCTTCTCTCTCTCACTCCCTTCCTCCCTTCTCTCTCTCTCCCTCCCTTCCCCCTCCTCTCTTCCTTGTTCTCTCCCCTCTCCTCTCTCCTCACCATAAACAGGTAGAGCATACTCTCCTACAGGCCAAGCTACGAACAAAGAGTGCAATACAGAGACAAATGAATGAAACACTTACATTTTAGCAGCCCCTCTACATATCATAGCCTTAGCTATCAACTAGTGCATTAGGATGATGCCGAAAACATGATATGTTGTCTGACATGTTTATTACATTATTATCCTGAGTTACGCACTTATCAACAAAGATTTACACTATAGTGGTGTCATAGCCTTGTATCACAACATGTTACGTGGTGTATTGAGGAGGCAGTAGAGATTGTAACATGTCAGACGTATATATAGGTGTTGTGTCTACGATGCCACTATAATGTACTAGACATCTTGGTTGATAGGCCATAAGGACAGTATCTATGCGCACTATAATGTATTCGACAACTTGGTTGATAAGCTAATGGAACAGAACCTCCCTCACACATTCTTTGTTCCATTCACATGCATACACACGCCGTCCATTAGATTGGCTCCGAGCCTTGAAATGAATGCACACAAGGAGATAAGATGGCACATCTAATATTACAGTACAATGGCAAATGTATAACGGAAAAGCCAGCTCCAAAGTGATGAAGACTATAATACAGTGTAAAAGTGAGCAGCAGTGAGATAGGGAATGGCACACAGACTTGGTCTGGTGTGGTGTGGCTTTATTGAGTGGTCAGAGTTGACTACAATACGACAGGAAATGAGTGTTTGGGGGGGTTGTATATCCTGTCCTTTGGCTTTGAGAGTGTGTGTGTGTGGATGAGTGGCTAGTGCAGACTGTTTCTTGGTCTGAGGAAACTACACGGTAGATCAGTAACAGGGTGGTCAGGGAGAATGGTGTCTAGCGGGGAGAAAACCGAAAGAACGCCGAAATGAGGGCTGATGAATGTTCCCTTGAATTTAGCAGTCCCCACCACTTCGGTGGAGTCCAGCTGGTAGCGCTGGGTGCGATACAGGATCCGATCAGGTCTGTCTCGCTGGCCGCTCTTGATGAGCGAGTTTGAGTCCGGATCAACCGTGTGGCCGTCTTTGGGAGATTTCCCGCAGGCTAGCCAGGCGTCTTTCCACCCACCGCTCAGCTCCAGGGAGCCGTCAACCCCGGCGATGAGGCCCATATCAGCCAGTAGGAAACAGTCGTCGTGGTCACGTAACTCGTACATGAGCTCATTGATCTCCTGTTCTCGTATGAGGGACAGGTCCAGGCCGGGATCCAGCATGGTGGAGACTACGCAGATGTAATGCTCCACCTTCTGCTTGTCGTACATGCTGAAGAAGCCCACCACGGCCTTCTTTTTCCCCGGGCTGTCGTGGTAGTTTATCGTGATGGACTTGACGGCCGGGTAGGTCGATAGGATAGCGACGGTCGCTTTCGTTCGCGTCTCGAACCTGGTGGGCGGCTGTGTGATGTGCGGGTAGCGGGCGGCCCAGCCGCTCGTCTTGATGGTCTTGAGCGTGTCGTTCGTGACTCCTTGCAGGGCTATGTACTCTGGCCTCTTGTCGCGCACTAACTCACCCAGCGCCTCCAACCGCTCCGCCACGCTCCCGACTTCCACGCACATGTTGAAAGTGAGAAGCTTCATGGTTCTTCCTCTTTGCTCTGAACTCTTCAGACGGAGTTTCTGCAGCGCAACGGGAATAGAGGCGGCGAGGAGAGAGCAAGAATTTTAATAGGGGCGGCGGTGCGTGTGCGACGGTCGGTAGACAAGAGCGAGCATGCGCACAAGGGTCCGAGCCCCACCCACAATTAAAAATGTTGGCGCCCGAGTTATTGCATAATCCAGGCCCTCAACTCATATATAGGTGTAGCAGGATAGTTGGTTGGCCTCCTCCGAATGCTTGCCAAACGTTCTGCCCTACGTTCAACCCTAACTTTCCACAGTACATATATATTATACTGATAATTGACAGCGATTGCACTGCTCTCCTTCCCCCATGTGTCCACAAAAAGAACGAAAAGTTTAGGGCAACCCTACTTCCACAGCAAAGATTTTGAGAGTGATTCCCCGACTATAGTCACAGATGTTAGCTAGTTGGCCTGTTCTTTACATCACGTGCCAATTCATTTCTTATACACTGCACTATTCCAGCTGTATTCAAGCTGTTCAGGATATATAGTTCGTTGCCCCATCCCACGAAAAATGTAAGTAGCTAGCTAGCTAGCTAATGCCTTTAAAATCTAACAATATATATAATGTTGTCACGTCATTATACAACCTACAAAATTCATCAGAGACGATGATCTAAAGTAGTGTTTCGATTACTGTGTCTGGTGACTGGACTAGAGGACTAGCTATTTGTGCTAGGAGCTGAATCTGGTGTCCCGGTCATGTGGAGTGGTGAAGTCAATGTCAGGACCAATGGCGACAATTCCGTGAGGATTGATACTTGTGTGACTCCCCTGCAAAAGAGACAAAAACCATTAACTGTGAGAACCTTTTCAGAGATTGGCTTTTCAGCATTTGGCTAAAACGTACGCTGTCTGTATAGTAGTGTGTATTGACAATCAGGGGGCAGCAAAATTAATATATAGCTACATTCAGGAGAGGGGGTGAGTAATGCACAGGCTATAATACTAGCACAGAGTTTTGATGGACTCAATTGGTTCAGACCTGCTTTTAGCTGCACCCTAATTACCTTGATTTCCCAGGCTCGCAAATGTACATTCAGCTAATAGCTAGAAAGGATAGCGTGTGTTCACCTGGTAATGGTGCTCAATATGGAGGAAATTGGTGGTCTCCCCAAAGCCTGGGGTCTGGTAGAGATCTCTCATGTATCCCCAGATGTTAGGGTAGTCAATCACCCGCTTCTTGTTACACTAGACGACATGAAATAGAGCCGAGGTAACGAATAATGTCAGTTTTACATTTGTGACTTTGACTCTGCTGAGGGAATTTAATTTTCCTGTTATTGCTGATCTGAAAACATGTGTCAGCTAGCCAAGTATGTATTATAGCTACAACAGAGAGATGGGAGCCAGGCTGTGCAAAAGAATCTGTGACTGGAGAGAGTCAGTGACTTGGTTCTGGTCTGGTTGCAAAAACGATGTATATAGAGTATATACCTTCCTGGAGTGTGTGCTACTTCCATGCCCCTTTGCCTCGTGCTGCAGGTAAGGGGCACTTGCACGGAGCCAGCAAAAGTAAGGGGCACAAGGTGTGGCTTTGACAAGTTTGAGTATGAGTGTGTGTGCATAGAGTGCATGCAGACGTGCCTTCAATATCCCAGATTAGCGGGGCTAAACCTATGATTGTGCTTACTTTGAAGTGGCCGACGTAGACCTTGTCAAAGCGGACGAGAGTTGTGTAGAGTCGTACGTCAGCCTCAGTGAGCTGGTCTCCTGCGAGGTAGCGCTTGCCTGCCAGGATGGCCTCCACGCGGTCCAGAGCTGCAAACAACTCTCTCACTGCCACGTCGTACGGCTCCTGCTTCGTGGCAAACCCAGCTCTGTACACTCCATTGTTGATACTCCTGGATATGGAGGGAGAGAACCAGGAAGACAGAATATTTTAAATTAAGAACACAGCTACAGCTACATAATTATAATTCGAGCACTCCCTCAGTTGAGCAGAGGAGAACCAAAGGCACCGCCGTAGGCATGCAATCAACTGTAACAGATGGCGCTGATTGCATGCCTGCATCTCTTTCAGGGCTCTGTCAATGGGTTTACTACATGAACATTCCAGCACTAAAGTGTGCTGTTGAACAGTGTTTGCCATGCCGTAGAGTGTGTATGTACAATGTTACAGTGACTGCATACAGTTTTGCAGGCTGTTCTCACGGGTATATCCACTCGTTGAGGGCGTCCACCTCAGCTCTGAGCGGCTCCGGGTACAGATCAATGGCCGCCTGCTCTGGAGACTTGCAGAAAGCGTTGAACTCCGCATTGAGCATGCGGAGAATCTCCGACGACTCGTTGTTGACTATTGTCTTCTGCACCTTGTCGTACAGCACAGGGACGGTGAATCGGCCGCCGTATTCAGGATTCATTTTGAAGTACAGCTCGCGCATGTAGCTGAATCCGTTCACGGAGTCCGGAGTAGCTCCGGGGACGTCGGGGTTGAAACGCCACCCCTTCTCGCCCATGTAGTAGTCCACCACGTCGAAGGATATGGCGTCTTCCAGACCTTTCAGCTTGCGCCCGATAAGCGTGCGGTGCGCCCAGGGACACGCGTACGAGACGTAGAGATGGTAGCGCCCGGACTCCGCTTTGAACCCGCTGCTCCCGTCTGCCGTGACCCAGTTACGGAAAGAGGACGGTTTCCGCTTGAACTCTCCCGTCTTTTCTGCAAACTGCAGTATGGCCGCGTCGGACTTCGCTTCTTTCTGCATCTTCTTCAGTGCTGTTAGTGCGCAACGAGCGTCGGTATGTTTGCGCGGAGTTGTCCGGACGAGCTTGAGCTGACTGGCGAATGTTCTGCGAGTGATTGATGCTCCCTTGAAGACGATACTGTCGACAACCAGCCCCGAGAAGACTTGAAGCATACCAAACTACAGATACGGAGGAGCCCGCGCGGTTTTACGGAATTGTCGGCGTGACTGAACACGTCACTTGCCGCGCGCGGGCTTGCAGGCAGCGTGTATATGCCTTCGTTTTACATGCTGTATACGATTTAGCCCAGTGGAAGGAAGTATAAGGGCTCTGCAGCCACAGAGAAATATCATCGTCGCAGTAGCGATGATGGCGAAAGTGGCCGGCGAGTTCAAGCGCGTTGCGTCAACCTTTCGCAATTGGGTTACGGAAGACGGGAGCAGCGGTTTCAAGGTTGAAGCCGGTCGCTATCATCTCTACGTCGCCTACAACTGCCCCTGGGCGCACAGGACGCTCGTGGTACGCAAACTGAAGGGTCTGGATGAGGCCGTAACGTGCAGCGTGGCTGCGTACCGTCGAGACGAACGGGGATGGAAATTCGATCCGGCGTCGTGCCCGGGATCCACAGAAGACACGGTGCACGGGTTTAGCCACGTCCGCGATGTTTATTTGCAGTGCGACCCTGAATACAGCGGCCGATTCACCGTCCCTGTGCTCTACGACAAGGTGCAGAAGACGATCGTCAACAACGAGTCGTCGGAAATAATCCGCATGTTCAATACGGAGTTCAACGCTTTCTGTAAGTCTCCAGAGCAGGCGGCCATTGATCTGTACCCCGAGCCGCTCAGAGCCGAGGTGGACGCCCTCAACGAGTGGATATACCCGTGAGAACAGCCTGCGAAAAAACGCATGAAGTTGAGGATTGTATACGTTTGAGCAAACGTGAGTATGATGTGCAGTGCTGGAATGCGCATTGTAGTAAACCGTAGTAGCCCTGAAAAGAAAGTCAGCCTCAAGAATGGTTAATTTCATGGTTATATGAGTTCTCTCCCTCTCCCTCCATATCCAGGAATATCAACAATGGAGTGTACAGAGCTGGGTTTGCCACGAAGCAGGAGCCGTACGACGTGGCAGTGAGAGAGTTGTTTGCAGCTCTGGACCGCGTGGAGGCCATCTTGGCAGGCAAGCGCTACCTCGCAGGAGACCAGCTCACTGAGGCTGACGTACGACTCTACACAACTTTAGTCCGCTTTGACAAGGTCTACGTCGGCACATTCAAGGTAAAAGGCTATATGCAGTGGAACCCCCTCCAATACAGACATGTGACAGAAGAAAGTGACCATTGAGGTGTCCTATATATCTGGCCAATAGCACACAAGGTGCCCTCATTTTGGAGGTGTCTTTACAGATGATGTATAATTATACTACTATAGATACACAAGAGGTGTTTTCTGTTTTCAGTGCAACAAGAAGTGTATTCGAGACTACCCCAATATCTGGCCTTATCTGAGGGACTTGTACCAGACCCCAGGCTTCGGGGAGACCACCAACTTCACACACATAGAGAACGGCTACCAGGTTAGCGAGCAAACGAAATTTGCACATATATTTCTTCCTTGACATAATTACGTAGCGATCAATCACACCCACAAACATTTAAGTTATCTGCATCAACTCAACCAACGTTACGACTGCATTAAAAGAATGTTTAATTTGCCACAGGGAAAGTCTCCTGATCGGAATCCTCATGGAATCGTCGCAATAGGACCTGATATCAACTTCAACGAGCCCCACAATAGAGCTACAAAATTCAGCAGCTGATTGTATTCCACGGAACAAATTTTTCTTAGACAGACCAAAATTTTTTGACAGAACACAGTTCACTGAGATCATGCTTATGGAGAACATCATAATTGTACATAACTAATAATTGTAGGAGCCACCCATTCTACGGGAGTAAAATTGGCCTCCACTTTGGGCAGTAGAAGTTTGATGTTCATGACTCTGTTGGGGTATACTCCGCTGGGGTTGAAGTGGTGTTGGAGTAGAAGTTACTCCCCCTACATACTGCGCTGGAGTAGAGCTTACTCTGCCTCCATACTGCGCTGGAGTAGAACCAGTACCAGGTGTATACTGCGTTGGAGTAAACATGGGTCTTGTTTGTCCTGCCGAAATACCCCGGGGTACGGGGTAGCTAGATTGGGGTGGAGGGACGGAGAAAGGTGCTGTAGATACAACTTTGGTTCCGGACATGGGAACTGGACTAACACCATCCGTAGTCATGGCTGAACGAGGAACAGTTGCAGGGTTCTTCTGTCCCACAGTGTGTCGTGTGACTGCGGGCGTGGAAGAGGGGAGTTTGATGATGTCATCTTGAATCATCCTCTGCATGGTGGCGAAATGGATCTGCCCCACCTTACCAATGTCAGACACAACTGAGACACACAAAAAAAGAAAGGTAGAGTGTGGTCTGTCAGTGTATATATTTGCTGGAGTCCTAAAACTAGCTGGGATGCTTGATATTTGCAAACGCTCTGCGGTTCAATGAAACTGCATGGTTATACCCTTTGTTTACAATTCTTGTAGTAGCATTCGACAGTTTGAACACAATACATTGCAAAAACTACACGAATCGAACATCACCTTAAAAAATTAATCCATAAACTATAGTATAATAGATTCAAAAATAGTCGTAACTCATAGTATATGGATTAAAGGGACTTACTCCTGCGATTGTAGGAGTGATGGCCGCTGGCAATAACTCTCTGTAGGAATGAGATCATAGCAGCAGAGGCCAGAGCTCTTTCCTGCAGAGGTAGAGACTGGAAGTAGTCCAGATCCACGGCAAACGGGTTGGGTGGGCATGGGGCTGCACAGACTTCAACCAGCTCTGTTAGCACGTCCCATACCTTCACCTCTGAGGGAGGGAGAGAGAGTGTGTGTGTAAGAGAAATGATAAGTATAGATAGAGGCAAAGGTGAGGGCCATCCGTGCAAGTTTTCCTCAAACGAAATTATTAATCCCTCGATAATTCAGTAGGGAGGGAAGAGAGAAAGAAATAAGCAGGGAGAGGGAAAAGAGGAGGGAGCAAAATAAAGGAGAAGGGAGAAGGGAAAGAGATGAGGAGGAGGAGACCTTTTTCTGTCCACTGAGAGGTGGTCTGTAGCATCAGAGGATAGTCTTTCTCCTCCTCACTAGCTAGCCTCACCAGCCTTTCGTGGTTGGTCCGAACCTGCCACACACACACACACACACTTGACATTGCTTCAATTTATGTGTGCAATTATTTACGGAAACCTGTTTAAGCTACGGTGTCTTACAACTAGTTATGTAAGAGTCTAGTGGGTGTAAGAAGCAGAAAGAAGTGACAAGAAAAGATAAATGAAACTCCGCGACTGGGTTATATACACTTACCCATACGTAGGGTCTGTTGTATCGAGAGTATCCGGCAATCAGAAACATGGTTTGGCTCTCGTCCTGTGTGTGCGAGACAGAGAGAGAGAGAGAGTGGGGAGCGAGTGAATCAATGTACAAGGATCACTGTTTAGTGTATATACAATACCGATGCACGTACAATTTTCAAGGTGCAGTTTTTTGCGAGTTAGTCTCAACCTGTGAAAGTAATGCTCCACAAAAGGCATACGGGACAACCAAAACCTACGCAAATCTCCCAAATTTTGCTTTTAGAACATTCGGCCCCCTCAGTGTAATTATACAAACCACGTCTTAATTGTAATTATACGAACCACGTCCTCATTTTCGCTGGGGCTGGCAGGAGGTAGACCGACATTGATGAACCCATAGCCACTTAACCTGGAAAAAAACAGACAGACAGCAGATTCGTACAAGGACCAAGAAAATCTTCTGTTTAGTGGGAAACTTTGTGAAATGTTGGGAAAGGCTCTAGTGATATGGTCGTCATTCGAGTACTATTGCTCTAAGGCCTTTTCTTTGCTGCAGTGGCCCAGCTATATATAAAGTGTGGTGTATAAAGCTTGTGTGCTGCTGACCTTCGCTGTTGTTTCTGACTCATAGGGAAGGCCTCTCTCTTCTGGTGGTGGCCAAATGACGCAGCAGGTGAGTTGGTTGCCGACTGGATAATGGGCATCTATTAGAATAGAGATGGTGGGCATCTATTAGAATAGGGACGGTGGGAATCTATTAGATATTGACGATGGGAGTAGAGAATTAAGTTTGAACCACAAACTTATTGTCTTGTCCCCAGACACCTATGTATGTGGAAAAGTTCTAAATCTTGGAACCAGGAGATCTAATCAGATTCGTACATATAGGGCCTCGTATACAGGTTCAGAAACTATGAACATGACAGGTTTAGGACCTAGCTTCACGTCAAACGCTATTTTTTCACTTGTGGGGGAGGTCGTAAGGTACAAGACTTACCGATGGCTCATTCACAATGCTGCAGATCATCTCTTCCCTGCCTCTCATGTGAGTGGCAAAGTGTTGGAATCCCTGCAGTGGAGCCACAAGCATCACAAACATCGACACACACAACTCAAGGAAGAGAGTAGTTGACCGTTCGATGGTGGAAGAGAGAAAGAGCCAACTTTGTTGGTAGATTTGTGAGGGGAGACAAGCTATTGTCTGAGAGTGTAGCTCAGTGCATAGTGCGCTGGAATTCCAGTCTGCGTTCTACTCCTGACAGAAGCTAGCTCTTTCTCTTTTTTCCCTCGTGTACTTCTCTACCATTGCTCAGTCCTTCGCTTACCGGGTAAACTAAGACTTATGGTGCTGATTCGACTAACCTTCACACAGCTCAGCTTGAGCATGTCGTTCAGGAAATGGTTGAGTCGCTTTTTCTCCGCCTAAAAAGAGACGCAGAAGCAACAGTGTCACCTTAGGAATGGATCCATTTACCGGGGCTGTAGGTAGGGACTCTGGCAACTCACCATAACTGTCAAAAGCGACTGGAAGGACGGCAGAAGAAGAGGAGGTCAGGATCGGACCCCCCACGTGTATATACCTGACGTCATCGATGAATCTCGTTGCCATGGTTTTTGCGGCGCGCGAAATTCGATTCTTCTATCTTCTGCCCCCAGCCCGCGAGAGATAGAACCCTGCGAGAGAGTGTGTGTGAGTCTAAGTCGAACTCAAGGAGAGGGGAGATGGCTACCAGGCAGACTGACCTACTGGCCGTGCTGCAAAAGAGCGCCAGGAACGGGTGAGCACACGAAGGCATCTTATTCTAATTGATGCCCACCACCATGGTGTTTGTGCTGCAGTACACTGCTGTCATCCTGCGAGCCAGAAGTACGAGAGGTGAGATAAGCAGAAACATATGAAACACAACATTGCTGCATGAAACATTGATGCAACTTCAATGTATGGGGCGTCTGCAGTTGATGCACCAGATCGATGTGCTGATATCAGGGAAGCAGGCAGAGTGGGCGGGGCAATGGACGGGGCTTGAGACTCAGCTGAGGGAGAAGGAGAGGGAGTTGGGAGCTGTCCGACACACTCTGTGGCAGAAAGACACTGAGGTCACCCTTATTGTATTGCATAACTAAGAGACATTCCACCGGCTTGACACTTGTGCATTGTATCAACAGTGTGTCATAATAAAGGAAAGTAGCAGTAGCTAAGGGCTAAATTTAGAAAAGATAAACAATATGACCAAGTGCAAGAGAGTGACGAAGTTTCCTTTTCGGTTTTTACATGTCTCATTCCCTTAAAAACCAACAGTTGGCTCAAGTGAATGAGAAATATGAGCAACTGAAGGCAAGAAGACAACACAAGTACTCATCTCTACAGGTGAACTACATTTTTATGGATTTGTTGATCAGAATGATGTAATGTATTGATGTGTAGGGAGTGTCAGCCAGGAAGACTTCTGAGGAGATACTTCAGCTCAGACAGGACAAACAGGTACATACATACCACATAGCAGAGTTTTTTTTACAATTCGCAAAGTTGTTGATTAGAAATCACTGCTGTACGGTATATGCATCTACCACTACTGCTCCACCCCCTCTCTCACTGATACTCATACTCTTCAAGGTATTGGAAGAGACCAAGGCTCATTTGGAGGAGGAAAGGACGGTACTGGAGGGACAGTTGAACCTTGCCAAACTGGAGACCACAGCACTGCAGGAAACATGTGCAGCTCTAGAGGTGAGCCAAAAAGCTTCTTTGTGTACTAGAGTATCTGCGTGGGTTCAATTGACCTAACTGGACACACATCAATAAAGTTCTTCCTAGCATGTTCTTGTTTGCCTTCGAGTGACCCTCGAAATGTCTCCAAGTGCAGCATCTGTACGTATTCCCACACTTGTTGTAGGGAGAGGTGAAGTTCTGCAGGTCTCAGCTAGAGCAGAAGGACACCCTCGTGGCAGCCATTGAGCAGAGTCACTCTGTCAGAGGCAAACAACTCCAGGCTCAGGTATATAGAATCATCCTCTACTTTCTTCCCTCTCTCTCCCTCCCCTCTCCTCCCTCCTTCTCCTGTCTCCTTTCCTTGATCCTTTCCTCCCCCCTCTCCTTTCTCTGTCTCCGTTCTCCCCCCAAACTACTACTCTACTTCATAACAGTTGAAAAGGTCTCAGGAACTGGCAGAGGCAAGAGCCCTGGCCCTACAAAAGTGAGTACCACATAATTCTACTGCTGCCATCAAGGCTTTAGTTGCCCATCTATGTACAGATGTACAACTCCGGGAAACTTTGGTACCCAGTGTAAAATTTTTACTTGAAAAGTTTGTGACTCAAAACTTGGTCGTAAGAAAACTTGAAAATGTGAGTTAGGGGAAGGGCTTTTCTACCAATCCCTGCCCATCATTTGTGAATGTGTGTCTCTTATTTCTCAAAGACCTATAGATCCACTCCTGGGGCATATGTGTAATTAATGTTTAGGTACACCAACCTCCAATTAAAGCACATCTATATACATATGTATAAGAGTTCACACACACAATTGTATGTAATTCTGTCTGTGTATAGAGTTCACGGAGAGTTGGAGGAGAAGAGGAGAGAGGCTGAGGTCGCGTCCGCTGAGGTTCTGTCTCTCAATTCCCAGCTCTCACACAGTCAGGCCTCAGTGAGGGTAACGAAGAGTGTTCCCCTCTCGTCATGTGGCGTGATTGGATTCACTGATTCTCCATGTACAGCAATTGAGGGGCAAGTACGCAGAGCTTCAGGGACAAGTGCAGAATCTTGAGGACCAGCTAAAGGTATATTATATCTGTAGGCTTGTGGCAGTATATTATGAGGGCTAAATGTTGCTAACAATAGAGACATAAATGGATTCTTTCACTGGTGTTTAGTTCCATCTTTAGTAACATTTCTTTAGCCCTTATGTATAGACACATTCACTTTAAGGTGATTAGTACAATAAAGAATGCTTCCTTGGCGTATCTGCTCTTTCATGCATTCAAAATACGAAAGTAAAAATATACTGGTGCATAAAACAGATTTATTATCACTAAGTACAGTAGTACTTAGTATATAGGGATGGGCATGGTACCTAGCATCATAGATGTATGGGGCTATGATAGGGATATTATTGGCAGGTGACAGGGACCCAGTTGTCTCAGAGAGAGCATTCAGTGAGACTTCTGCAGGAGTCCACTCAGAAGAAAGATAAACTTATCAAGTAAGAAATTCAACAGTCCTCTTCTATCTCTTTATTTGTCCCCCTGAATAATGCTTTCCAGGGGACACTTTCAGTAGGCGTTCTGTTATTGGGACCATCTAAATTTGTTGCTTGGGGGCTTAGTTAATTAATCAAAGTTGCAAGTGTTAACATAGTATCAATCTACATAATATGAGCATAATTGCAAGAGTGTTGTTATGTATATGATGGTGTAATGGGCAGGTCTCTGGGTGGGAGAAAAGCTCAGGTGTCAGAAGTGAGTCGTCTGAAACAGGAGCTAAGCCACGCCCACTCCCAGCTCCAGACTCAGTCCCAGAGAGAGAGGGAGTTGCGAGAGGAATTGACTTCACTGCAACAGAGGTGAGGCTTCTCTTGCATAGGATTGGGAGCTCAGTGTTTTAGTGTGTGTGTGCTTTCCTTAATGCTCAGACTAAAGTTGAAGTATGGAATTGTATACTCTATCTCGCTGTACCTATTCCTTTCTTGCCCAAATTTCGCTGTCCCCTCAAATAAGGGTGTCAACGATTTTGCATTTCTTGTACGAACAAAAGAGCAGGAAGAGACGAACTAACTATCCTTAATACTTTGACAACAGTTGGACTATGGAATAGTGGCATACTCTATCTCGCAGCACCTATTCTTATCTTGCCCAAATTTCGCTGTCCCCCCAAATGGGGGTGTCAACGATTTTGCATTTTTTGTAGGCACCTGAGTTTAAGAAGAGACAAACAAGCTATCTTCAATGCTTTGACTACAGTTGGACTATGGAATAGTAACATACTCTATCTCGCTGCACCTTTTCCTTTCTTGCCCTGTCCTCCCAAATAAGGGTGTCAACGATTTTGCATTTCTTGTACGAACAAAAGAGCAAGAACAGACAAACTAACTATCCTTAATACTTTGACAACAGTTGGACTATGGAATAGTGGCATACTCTATCTCGCTGTACCTATTCCTATCTTGCCCAAATTTCGCTTTTCGAGAGGGGAGGGAGGGGGGAATGGGGTAGGAAGGGGAGAGGGAGGGGGTGGGGGAGGAGGAAAGAAAGAGGAGGGGGGGGAGCGGAGGGGCGGTCGGAGAAACAAGAGGGGTGGGGGGGAGGGTGAGGGTGGGGGAGGGAGGAGGAAGGGGGGGAGGGGAGATGGGGATGAGGGAGGGGAGTGAGTGTGTCGCGGGAGAAGGAGTGAGGGATGTGGTGGGGGTATTGGGAGGGGTGGAGGAAGAGGGGGATGGTGATGGAGTGAGGGGTGAAGGGAGGAGGGAGGGGGGGGGGGGGGGGAGAGCGGGTAGGGGGGGGAAAGAAGGGAGGGGCGAGGGGGGGAGGGAGCGAGGAAGAGCGGGGTTGGAGAGGGTCGACCATTGGGACGGAAAGGATTTTATTTGGTTGCGTTCAGCATGGACGCGTAGGCTGGGCGATGGTAAGGGTGGGGAGGGCAGGCCAGGGAGGAGGGTGGGGGAGGAGTGGGGGGGGGTGGGGATGGGATATGGGAAGAAGTAGGGGGTGGGGGAAATAGCGGGGAGGGTCGTGGGATAACGCGTTGGGGGTGGGTAGGTGTGCGTAAGAGCGGACCTTAGAGGGGAGTTTTGCGTTGGCGGTATGCGATATGGCGGCATCTGCATGTAATTTTGTTGTTCTGTTTGGTCTCTGCTTATCTGTGTTGTGCTCCTTTCTTTTTTCTTTTGTTTTTGTATTCTTTTTTCTTTGTTCTGTCCCCCCCAAATTAGGGGGTGTCAACGATTTTGCATGCAACCCCTTTTCCTTTCTTTCTTTGCCCTGTCCTACCAATAAGGGTGTCAAACGATTTTGCATTTCTTGTACGAAACAAGACAAGAACAGACAAACTAACTATCCTTATGCTGTTGACAACAGTTGAGTATGTAATAGTGGCATACGCTATCTCGCTTCCACCTATTCCTATCTTGCCCAAATTTCGCTGTCCCCTCAAATAAGGGTGTCAACGATTTTGCATTTCTTGTACGAACAAAGAGCAAGAAGAGACAAACTAACTATCCTTAATACTTTGACAACAGTTGGACTATGGAATAGTGGCATACTCTATCTCGCTGTACCTATTCCTATCTTGCCCAAATTTCGCTGTCCCCTCAAATAAGGGTGTCAACGATTTTGCATTTCTTGTACGAACAAAAGAGCAAGAAGAGACAAACTAACTATCCTTAATACTTTGACAACAGTTGGACTATGGAATAGTGGCATACTCTATCTCGCTGTACCTATTCCTATCTTGCCCAAATTTCGCTGTCCCCCCAAATTAGGGTGTCAACGATTTTGCATTTCTTGTACGAACAAAAGAGCAAGAAGAGACAAACTAACTATCCTTAATACTTTGGCAACAGTTGGACTATGGAATAGTGGCATACTCTATCTCGCTGTACCTATTCCTATCTTGCCCAAATTTCGCTGTCCCCTCAAATAAGGGTGTCAACGATTTTGCATTTCTTGTACGAACAAAAGAGCAAGAAGAGACAAACTAACTATCCTTAATACTTTGACAACAGTTGGACTATGGAATAGTGGCATACTCTATCTCGCTGCACCTATTCCTATCTTGCCCAAATTTCGCTGTCCCCCAAATAAGGGTGTCAACGATTTTGCATTTCTTGTACGAACAAAAGAGCAAGAAGAGACAAACTAACTATCCTTAATACTTTGACAACAGTTGGACTATGGAATAGTGGCATACTCTATCTCGCTGTACCTATTCCTATCTTGCCCAAATTTCGCTGTCCCCTCAAATAAGGGTGTCAACGATTTTGCATTTCTTGTACGAACAAAAGAGCAAGAAGAGACAAACTAACTATCCTTAATACTTTGACAACAGTTGGACTATGGAATAGTGGCATACTCTATCTCGCTGTACCTATTCCTATCTTGCCCAAATTTCGCTGTCCCCTCAAATAAGGGTGTCAACGATTTTGCATTTCTTGTACGAACAAAAGAGCAAGAAGAGACAAACTAACTATCCTTAATACTTTGACAACAGTTGGACTATGGAATAGTGGCATACTCTATCTCGCTGTACCTATTCCTATCTTGCCCAAATTTCGCTGTCCCCCCAAATGAGGGTGTCAACGATTTTGCATTTCTTGTACGAACAAAAGAGTCAAGAAGAGACAAACTAACTATCCTTAATACTTTGACTACAGTTGGACTATGGAATAGTGGCATACTCTATCTCACTGCACCTATTCCTATCTTGCCCAAATTTCGCGTCCCCCAAATAAGGGTGTCAACGATTTTGCATTTCTTGTACGAACAAAAGAGCAAGAACAGACAAACTAACTATCCTTAATGCTTTGACAACAGTTGGACTATGGAATAGTGGCATACTCTATCTCGCTGTACCTATTCCTATCTTGCCCAAATTTCGCTGTCCCCCTCAAATAAGGGTGTCAACGATTTTGCATTTCTTGTACGAACAAAAGAGCAAGAAGAGACAAACTAACTATCCTTAATACTTTGACAACAGTTGGACTATGGAATAGTGGCATACTCTATCTCGCTGTACCTATTCCTATCTTGCCCAAATTTCGCTGTCCCCTCAAATAAGGGTGTCAACGATTTTGCATTTCTTGTACGAACAAAAGAGCAAGAAGAGACAAACTAACTATCCTTAATACTTTGACAACAGTTGGACTATGGAATAGTGGCATACTCTATCTCGCTGTACCTATTCCTATCTTGCCCAAATTTCGCTGTCCCCCCAAATAAGGGTGTCAACGATTTGCATTTCTTGTACGAACAAAAGAGCAAGAAGAGACAAACTAACTATCCTTAATACTTTGACAACAGTTGGACTATGGAATTATTTATAAAACTTTATAAAATTTAAAAATCTTTTATGTAAGAAATATTTATTTAAATTGAAGAAAAAAAAAAAAATATACGAATCCATTTTAAAATTAAAATCTGTTTATCATCATAAGGAAACAACCAAAATCATCGACACAATTTTAACATTACCTTTTTTTACTACCTATACCTCCTTCACACTTCTTTTCCTATTGCCTGGCAACATACTTTATTTTACTTTTCTTTTTCCCCTCATTATCCTTCTCTCACATTTTTTTCACAACTCGCCTCTCCCCCTTCTCAATCTCCCCCTCCCACCTCCCCAGCGCACTTTTTCTTCCTCCGCCTCCTGCCCCCCCACTTTCCCCCCCTTTCCTCCTCTTTCCCGACTGTCCCTATCTCCTTCCGTTCTCATCCCCCCCTCCTCTCTTCCTTTTCTCCTTCCTTTCTTTCGCCTTTTTCCCTCCCCCTTGCTCCTCCTCCTTCCTCTTTCTCTTCCTCCCCTCCTCCTCCTCTCCTTCCTGCCTCCCCCCTTTCCTACCTCCCCTTCCCTTTCCTTCGCCCTCGTTTCCCCTCCTCCCTTCTTCTCCTTCCTCTCTTTCCTCTTCCACTCTTCCTCCCTGCCTTTCCTGTTCCTCGCCTCCTTCTCCCTCTTCTTCCCGCCTTTCTTTTTCTCCCCGCTTTCTCTACTTTCTTCTTCCCTTCCCTCCCTCCCCTCACCCCTTCCTCCCCTCTTTTCGCCCGCCTCGCCCCCGCCCCCCTCTTCTTCCTCGCCCTCCTCCTCCCTCTTCCCCTCCCCTCCTTCCCCTCCTTTCCTCCGTTGCCCCCTCCCCCTTCCCTCTTCTTCCCTCCTCCCCTCCTCCCTTTTCTCTTCGCTCCCCTCTCCTTAGTTCTCCTTCCGCCCCCCTCTTTCCTTTCTCCCGCCGTCCTCTCTCTCTCCTCCTCTTCTCTTCTTTCCCCCCTCTTCCCTCCTCTCCCCTTCCCTACTCCCCTTCCCCCTACCTCCCTCTCTTCCTTCTTTCTTCCCCTCCCTCCTCTCCCCTCCTTGCTCCCCTTCCCTGCCTCCTCCCCTTCCCGTTTTTTTTTTCCCTCCCCCCCTTGTTGTCCCCTTCTCTCCCTCCCCTCCTTTTCCTTCCTTCTCCCCTCCTCCCCCTGCGCCTCCTCTCATTCCTTTCTCCTTATTCTTCTCTCTTTTCTCCTTCCGTTTCCCCCCCTCCCCTTTCTTCCGTCCCCCTCCCTCGCCTTCCTTCACCCCCCCTTGTTTCCACCTCCTTTCCCTCCTCCACTCCCCGCTTCCCTTACCTTTTTTCTCCTCCTCTCCCCCGATAAAAAAGAAGAAATTAATAACTAGTGCTCTATCTCGCTGTACCTATTCCTATCTTGCCCATACGTTCGCGTCCCCTCAAATGAGGGTGTCAACGTTTGCTGTTCTTGTACGAACAAAGAGCACAAGACAGACAAACGTACTATCCTTAGTGCTTGACTACAGTTGGCTATGACATAGTGGCATAGCTCTAGTCTATCTTACTGCAAAAATCCGCAGCACGATTCTAGTCTTCCCATATTTCGCTGGTCAATGGGGTGTCAACGCATTTTGGCATTTGCTCTGTAGGCCCTGATCTGAGAGCAAGAACACAAACTAGCATCTTCAATTTGGCTTTGACTACAGTTGGGACTATGGAATAGTGGCATACTCTATCTCGCTGCAACCGTTTCCTTCTTGCCATTCCGCTCCCAAATAAGGGTGTCAACGATTTTGCATTTCTTGTACGAACAAAAGAGCAAGAACAGACAAACTAACTATCCTTAATGCTTTGACAACAGTTGGACTATGGAATAGTGGCATACTCTATCTCGCAGCACCTATTCTTATCTTGCCCAAATTTCGCTGTCCCCCAAATAAGGGTGTCAACGATTTTGCATTTCTTGTACGAACAAAGAGCAGAGAAGAGACAAACTAACTATCCTTAATACTTTGACAACAGTTGGACTATGGAATAGTGGCATACTCTATCTCGCTGCTACCTATTCCTATCTTGCCCAAATTTCGCTGTCCCCCTCAAATAAGGTGTCAACGATTTGCATTTCTTGTACGAACAAAAGAGCAAGAAGAGACAAACTAACTATCCTTAATACTTTGACAACAGTTGGACTATGGAATAGTGGCATACTCTATCTCGCTGTACTATTCCTATCTTGCCCAATTTCGCTGTCCCCTCAAATAAGGGTGTCAACGATTTTGCATTTCTTGTACGAACGAAAGAGCAAGAAGAGACAAACTAACTATCCTTAATAAAAAACCTTTTTTGTTTTTGGTGTTTTTTGTTTTTTTTGGTTTTTGTGGTTTTGTTTTTTTGTTTGTGTTTCGGCAAAAAAAAAAAAAAAACAAAGAAACCCCCCCCCTTTTTTTTTTTTTTTTATTGTTGTTTTGACCACAGTTGGACTATGAATAGTGCATACTCTATCTCGCTGTACCTATTCCTACTTGCCCAAAATTTCGCTGTCCCCCTCCCACTTGGGTGTCCCCCCCCCCCAACACCCCGATTTTGCTTTCTTGTACGAAACGAAAGAGCAAGAAGAGACAAACTAACTATCCCTTAATACTTTTGACAACAGTTGGACTAAATTAAATAGTGGCATACTCTATCCGCTTACCTATTCCTATCTTGCCAAATTTCGCTGTCCCTCAAATAAGGGTGTCAACTATTTTTGCAGTTCTTGTACAAACATGAGAGCAAGAAGAGACAACTAACTAGATTTTCATTCTTATCACAGTTGAGTATGGAAATTAACATCTCTACTCACTGTATCTATTTCCTATCTGCCCAATTTCGCTGTCCCCCAAATAACGGTGTCACGATTTTGCTTTCTTTTACAAACATGAGAGCAGAAGAGACAAACTAACTA